TTAAGAAATCACTTAAAATTGCATTGTTGGCAAAGAGCAGGATTACTCACTTTCCTAAAGAATAGCAACAAGATCCAGGGACCTGTCCTACCAGATATCATTGTTTATTGTTACCATATAGGCTATAGCATAGTGTATTTTGGCTTGGGGACAGATAAATAGACCAAAGTAACTAAATACAGAGCAAAAACAAGGCTTCGCATATCTACAAACATGTTTTTTGCAGATCAGTGGGGAACAATTAAGCTGCTGGATAAATGCCACTGACATGATTAACTATCCACGTGGGAGGAAATTGCATCTCTACTGTATACCATTCACTAACGTCAATTCCAGATGGGCAAATAACAGATATAAAAAGCAACACCATGAAATTTTTAGAAGACAATGTAGGAGATATTGTTTTGGGATTTCAGGGTAAGGAAGAACTTCTTAGCCATGAGACAGAAAGTACAAACCATAAAGAAAAAGTGATAAATTCAACAACAAAAACAGGACTTCAGTTATCAAAAATACACAAAGGGAACGAAAGGACAAACTGCAAACTGCAAACGATAGTTGTAATAACAATGGAAAAGGGATTCATTTCAAACAATTTCTGTGTCTCAAAGGAAAAAGGCAAATGATATCAGCAAACATTTTACAACAGAAAAATACATGAAAAGATTCTTGATTTATTAATAATCAAGGAAATTAAATTTTAAAATCACAATAAACGACCACTTCATATGCACAACACTGATGAGTCAGATGTTCCTAAAGGATTGATGATGGTATGGATGAATAGGAAATGCCAGTGGAAATGTAAATGGGAAAAGCCTAGAAAACAGAAATCACCTCACAAAAAAACATTTTAAAAAAAAAACAAAAAAGCAAAAACTTACAGATAGTTCAAATGTCCTTCAACAATAGAATAAACAGATGGCGATTTATTCAGATCACATAACATAGCATACAGTGAAAATGAATGACCGTAGTTGCATGCACGGCCATGGATGAGTCTCAGACACATAGTACTGACACAGTTTGTCAAGTCTAGAAAAATAAATACAGAAAGAGTCCATCAGGATAAAGTTCAAACCCAGGCCATCCATTACTTATGGATATACTTCATAGCAGGTTAAACTATAAAGAAACGCATGTGATTAAGGACAGTGTGAGAAGGAGGTGCTCTTAGGGAAAGAAAATCAGGCCTCTACAGCACTAGCAATATCCTGTTTTGCAGACTGAGTGGTGAATAGGTGAGAATGTATTTTATTAGTCTTTAAGCAGTTTAGACATTTTTACTCTATGCATAATATACTTCACGATCAAGCTGTTTCAAACAATGAATTAGATGACCCTTAAGGGACCTCCTAACTCTGACCTTGAAATTTTATAAAATCTGATTCCTTTTGCAAAGTTGAAAATCAACAGTTTTATGACAGAATCCCAGACTCTCAGATCCAGCCCCGCTCATTTCACAAATGAGCTCCAAAGAGACAAGTGACTTTTTCAGTCACATAGCACTTGAGTGGTAGAATAGGATCATGGAGAAATTTCCAGAAAACCATGAACCATACATCTTCCACTGATACATTCTAAAGTTGTGTGCAAGGCCTCCTAGCAGGCACTGTGTTTACAGTGAACATTCACTCTAGATTTTCTCGAAGCAGTTCTAACCTGTGTGCATTCTCTCCTGGGTCTGACCACACCATCTGCTTTTGCTTTTTGTTATTGTTGTTGTTGTTGTTTGAAAGAATAGAGTTTATCTTTTGTTTTACAGAATAATGACTGCCCTGGGTATCCTTTTTTCACTGAAAACGGTGTTTCAGCCTTTCCTGTTACTTGAATCACTGACTTACCTAGCCTCAAGTACATCCATCGTGCTGGTCCCACTTGCTCCTTACCTCCCATCCTTGTGTTCCCCACTGTATTTCCAGGAACCCCTGAGATCCTTATCAACCTTTGCATCCTTTCTACCACAAACTTCCTCCTTCAGTTCCTTGGGGGAAATGGAGGAACTGATTGTTCCAAGTTTTCTTGCGGACTCCTGGTTTTCTCCTCTGACAGAGGTGGCTCTGCGGGGTGGAGCTAGCAGAGAAAACAAAGGAGATTAAAAAAAAAAGGGAAAAAACAGAAGTTGTTTCCAATGAGGTCGTGGGCCATGACCCAGAGCCTTCCATGAAGCAATCGATCCACCACCTGCACACCCAGAACACCCTGTACTCGGGCTTTGCCTGCATTGTTTGCTATGATGAATTCTCACGATGCTTTCTGAAAGCTAAACCTTTCTCCACCTCCCTTAAACACCTTCTCTGCCATCCTTCCTGCCCCGCCAGTGGAGGTTCCACAGGCCCCAAGAAAGATTGTGCACTGAATTTAAAATGTTTAGACACCTGGAATCTCTAACGGAAGGGCTCCTTCCCATGGACTCACAAGCATTTCATTTTGCAGTGGATGCAGGCCCCAGGAAAGACAGCCAAGTGTGCTGCTATCCAGAGATTTACAGGGAATGATAAGACAGGGCCCGGTGGTCTGACTCCCAGACCACTCTGTCTCCCACTTTTGTGCTGTGACCTGTGGGGCCAGTTCCCTCTGCCCCTGTAAGCCTGCCTCAAGCCTACAATGGTGAACAAACACTTGCGAAACATGCCTGGCATTCCCTTGGAAATCTCTCCTATTTTTAACCTGGCTTCTTTTGCAGAACAGCTTGCCCTGTTAATGATAAAATTGTATTTGTATTGGGTGATGTCACCCAATTCCAGGCTGGCCCCTGGGAACCACAAGCCTGGACATTTTTGTCAGCCTGCCCACAATTGATCACTCTTGAGAATGCTGAGTCGTACTGAACAAATCCTTAGAAGACCCGTGTAAAAGACCAGAGTATCTGCTTATTAATGCACATAAGAGTTGTAATTCTCAGTTGTACAAGTTTGTGTTGGCCTGGCCAGATTTTTCCTTCCCAAAAAGCATCCATGTGGAGTCAAACTGTCAGTCTCCTGGAAGGTACCAGCTCAGAACAACGTTGTTGGTTGTAGGATTTAAAGGTTCTTTCCCATTCCCTTCCTTAAACTGGTAACAAAATCCCTGTCTGACTGACTCAATCTCACTTTAGTAGGACGAACACTGTGAGTTATTGTAGTGCTGTTAGCCTGGAAGTCATCATTTCCAGGAAGTTAACTTGCCTCATCCCACTCTGTCCATTCTGTTTTGATTTCATAACTTAACTCCTTTTAGGAAAATCTTACCTCCTCTATGTCTGAGTCCTTTACTGGGACTGCTCCTACATAATTCAGTTCTTCAACACCTGTAAATCTAGCTGTTCTTCTATTACCTGACCTATAATTATTTCTTCCTATTATCTATAAGAACATTCCAAGAGACCTTCTGAGAATACCTTGTGAAGTCGTGTTGCAGCTCTCTTTAAAAGATAGCTATGTAGGTGATCACTTTTGCAGCTAGATTATGGAGAATTATTATGCTCTTTCTTTCTACTTTTGTATATGTTTGCAATTTTTCAAAATACTTTTTTTAACTTTTTTAAAAACTAGGGAGAAACCTGTCCGTGGCTTCTCAATATTGCACAAAGTCCAAATTTCCTTTGTTTATTAGAACATGTTTGTACATAATGCATACATCTATTGTAGATAGTTGCTACATATGCATGATACATGTTAATTCTTTTTGCATCCTTTTTTCTCCCTCTACCTGCTCCCTTCATCTCTTCATCCCTTTCCCACTTCAAAAGAGCTATCTCTCTGTTCCCTGTTATATTTTATCTTACTCTTTAATTCATTTATACTTTGGCTTTCTTATACAAGAGGAACCATACAGTACTTAAACATGTGTGTCACTTATTATACTTAACATTATGTTCTCAAGGTACATTTGTTTTCCTACAGACCTGTCAAGTTTATCCTTATTTATAGCAGAGTGGACTCTACTGTGTATGAATACCACTTTTTCTTTATCCTTTCATCTGCTGATGGACATAGGCAGCTTCCAAGATTTAGTTACAATGAATTGTGCTGCTGATGAAGAAAAGTATGCGTGTATCACATAATATGATGTGTTTAATTCACTCAAGGCCTGAATTTCTTAGCCTAGGTGGAGGCCTTTCTCCAACTAGTCTGAAAGCCCTTTTCCTGGTACTTCCCCGAAGGCCTGAAAGCACCACCCTACCAACCTCGGCCCACAGCCACACCAGAGTCACTCCCAGCTTCTCAGTTCTGTTCTTTGACTCATTCTGTCCCTGCAGTGTTCCACTCAAATTCACTTCCTCCAAGAAACCTCCCATCATTCTTCTGCACCAGCCAGGCTCCCTTCCACCTCCCCATTGGCAGCACATGCGGCCCACACCTACCTGATGGCCCATTACCATTACATATGGTAACATCCTGTGCCATCTTCACATGGCACACATTTTTAAGTCGCTGCTGTTAAAGAATCTTGTGACCTATGAATCGTGCTGGGAACACATTAGCCTTCTTTGGCTGTAGGAGGACAGATCAGAACAAATCCTCCGTCCATTGTCATCCTAAATTGTTTACAGTTTGGCATCTGAAATGGGGTCTCCACATGACTGTTCACCCAGAATAGAGTTGCACACATAGGAAGTACCCAGGAGATGTTTCACTGAGTGAGTCTTTTATCAAATTCCTGATGCCCCCAGCTATGTAGCACTGTGTGAGTCAGAGGGACTTACACTTTAGTGTGTTGTACATTCATGGATCTCAGACACTGTGCATCTAATCAGCAAGGCAGTGTGTTACAAGGCAGGTGCCAGGGCTTGGCCCCAGGGAAAAAGAATGAAGCCCAGGCATCTGCCTGTGAAGCAGTCATCAGGCGATCCTGACATGGAATGTCTGCAGGCCATACCATGAGACACAAGACCCACGAAGTCTGATGTGTCGCTCTTGACCACTCTTGACAAAGCCAGATACCAGCCTTTTCCCTTGTGAGGCTGCACACCTTCCTGGGACTCAACCTGCCCTTGTTTCTCTCCTTGTTCCCCAAAGTGTGTGGCTGTGGCCTGGCCCAGTCAGGTTTCTTCTTCAAGAACCAGGAGTACATCTGCACCCAGGACTATCAGCAGCTTTATGGCACCCGCTGTGACAGTTGCCGGGACTTCATCACAGGCGAGGTCATCTCCGCCCTGGGCCGCACCTACCACCCCAAGTGCTTTGTGTGCAGCCTGTGCAGGTGAGCAGGTGGCTGGGAAACAGAGGGCCTCTGTGTGAGCCCCAGGGAGGGACAGAGGTGGCTCGTCCCAGGCAGCCCTGGGGCCTAGGTAGCTTATGGGGGTCTGGATTTCTAGAACCTAAAGGGTGAAAGGATCTGAACAGTGGTTTTCAAATCTTTCAGCAGATGGGTCCTGTCTCACACACACAATGTGATATGAAATAGTAGTTTGTCCTGTGATGGAGCAGAGTAAGGATCCACACTCCAAGCTCAGCCAACCACTTCCCTTCAAAAGGCTTCCAAAAGACCCACCAAGTAACCTCATCCTTTTGGTCCCTCAGGGTTCATTTTGGAAACTGCTGGTCTGGCTTGGGCTCCCACATCCTTAACACAAGCCTGTGTGTTTCTGGCCTTTCCCCGTCATTCCAGCAGAACCTCCTCTGGCACAGTGACCCTGACAAGTGACTCCCTCTCTTTACACCTTGGTTTCTCCATAGTAATAGGGGTTGAACCCATAGCAGTCTCAGTGGGTTACTAGTAAGAACAGTGAGACAATACATGCAAAGACTTTAGCCCATGATTGGCACATAGTGTATGTTTTTCTTATTTTTCTCATTATCGTGATAACTCTTAGCCTCCCTCGGGACATCTTTAGTGACTGAGAGCCCTTCCCTGTTCCCTTCCCCACCCCATCATCCAAATCCTTTATTCATTTAGCAAATGCATATTAAACTTCAACTGCATGCCAAAAATCACATTAAGGAAATGAAAAAAAAATTAATAGAACCTCTGCTCTGTCTATAAATATGTTGAAGTTTAATGGATAGTTCTGATTAAGTTATAAGTAAACTATGACGAGAGTATATACACATTTCAAATTGGGGGAAGAATTTGTAACTACTCTCCCCATAATATAACTAGTTGGTTAGTACTTGTTGTCACTAACAAATTAGTTTATGACCAAGACTATTGGTAGAGTATGTAATGGATGAAAAATCCTGGGCCCTGAGACTGGGATCCAGGACCCATCAGAGGTCAGCACAGAGGATCTCTGTGGTACAAGGTGAGCTTTTTGTCTAGCTCTGTAGAGATGAGGTGATTCTCTAAGGTCATGCTATGCCTTTTTGCCTTGAAGTAGTGGCTGGGCCACAGTGAGGACACGGGTCCTCAGACTCCTGCCCCGGTGCATTCCCTCCATTTCACATTCCTAATACAAGGGCAGCGGAGCCACTGGAAGCCTTCATCAGGAGTGATGCCCAGAGTCCATATGACGGGGGTCCCAAATTACAGGAGCAAGAGCAACCACATGATGGGATTGGAGTGCTGACAACTCTTTACACCATTTATAATTTGGCTGGGGAGGCACAACATGTTCAAGGTTGAGATTCTTGTGCTACACAAATACAGAGGAGGGAAAGACGTATTTGTAGACTTACAAAAGAGAGATTTTGAGAAATGTCTTGAGACACAAAGTAAGAAATTTTGGTAAGGTTTGAGAGCTGAGTGAATTCATGATGTATGGAGAGAGGTCAAATTAGTATGGGAAAACTACTTCCATTAGGAGGGAACAACCCTGTGAGAAGTGAGTAGCCTCTCTCTCTTACACATGCAACAGGCAAGCTCTGATAAGCAGCATAGTATTCCTAGTGTCAAGCCAGATAAATGGCCCCAGTTTAGTCAGCCTGTCACTGGGAACAGCATTTAAATTTACCTGGTACTTGAGAGGAGAGCTGACTGTGTTTCCAGGCTGCTGTGAGCACGTGTTGTCAGGCCACCAAGAGCCTCCGAATCCCATAAATATGCACTCACTGTCTGCCTCAACCCCCTTGCAGGAAGCCTTTCCCCATTGGAGACAAGGTGACCTTCAGCGGTAAAGAGTGTGTGTGCCAGACCTGCTCCCAGGCCATGACCAGCAGCAAGCCCATCAAGATCCGTGGACCAAGCCGTGAGTCCCCATCTCCAAGGGCACCTCCAGGTCCAGGGCACTATCTCCTCAAGTCTGCCATCCTGGTACTGTCAGCCACACCCTCAGGCCTAAGGGGAAATGGGAGGTTCCCTCCCTGGAGGATTCCTGACGCGTGACCCAGTTGGCCTAAAGCCCAGACACACGAGCTCCACAAGCACAATGCCCGTGAGGCAGGCTGCCCAGCTATAACAGTGATGCTTATCGCTCCCTGGGTGGGTCTCTTTTGGGACTAGCTGGGTTCCTGATCTTATATCCCAAAGGCACCACCCCAGGGTTACTCAAGTACTACAGATGTCCCCAACAATTCTCAGTTTTGACAAACTCCACTGAGGAAGAATTTGCAGGCACAACTCACACACAAGAAAGTAGAGAGGGTCCTACCAACTTCATAGAATGTGTTCTGTGAAGCACCACATTGGGTTCATGCTGCACCTTGTAAAAAGACAACTTCTGGCCCCCAAAGTCCCCTAGATGTGAAACAGAGGCACTGAAATTCTCAATAATTCAAGAATTCCTATGAGATTCAAATGAATGCTCCTAAGATCAGGAATCACTGTCTAGGGATGAGGGGCACATCTCCCATGCCATAAGAGATGTTATGTTTTATCACTGCAGATTTGTGGAGAAAGTGAGGATGGAGGGCGTGCCTCTCAGCAAGCCTCCTAACTTGTTAAATCCATTCCACTCAAGCGTATCCAGCGATCAGATGTCTAAATCACTGTTCCCAGATGCCCTTGTCGGGCAGCTGACTGCACGCGCAGGCACACACGTAGACTGGGCCTCCTGGGTCTCTGGAAACTGTGCTGGGCTCCAGTGTTCTTTCATGTTATACGACACTCTGGCCAGTCTCATCAAGAGATCAATGAAAACCCATTAGCCTCCTGGGTTGCACCACAGAGCAGGCACGCAGGGTGGGTGGTGGAGGTGCCTGCCCACAGTGGCACCAGCAGAGTCAGCAGATGGGGTGGGGCACATTCCACCAGGGAGAGTGAGCCAAAATCACCCCAGTCAGCAGTGCTTAGCTCCCAGGAGCCCTATTAAGGTCCACCCAGGTGTGGAGAGCAGAGGGAAAGCACAGGAAGGCTCCCTCCCGTGGCCACCTTTCCTTTCAGTCCAGCCAGATTGCCCCCGGAGCAGGCAGTGTCCCTCCTTCAGCGTCCTTGTCCATGCTGGCTGCTCTGAGCAGGTTCCTGTGTCAAGGTGGCCGAGAGCACACTCACTGCTATCCTTCACCACTCTTGAAAGCCTCATCGGGAGTGACAGGGAGACTGGGAGGCGAGTCATGGTCCTGGGCTGAGGCACGCACAGGCCAGTGAGCCCACACGCAGGGCAACAAGGAGGGAGACAAGCGTGAATCAGAAGGCTTCCACCCTTCTGCATGACGCAGAACAGCCGGTAGCCTCTGAGGCTCAATTTCCCCAGCCATGGAAGCAGGATGGGCTTTCTTATTCCCACAGGACGACTGTGGAATGCAAGTGCATTGCCTGCATAAATCTGTAAATATAAAGTGAAGGCTGATGTCAGCGTGGAAGTTTAACGTGGAAAGCAGAGGAGCAGTGAGGGTCAGATTCGGAACTATCATTACTTCTCTCAGGTTGTGCTGTGCAGGGGGCTCTCCTGACCACAGGGAGTTTCCCTCAGCTGAGTGTGGGTGTCTCACACGTAAGTATGTGCTGGAAAGGAGTCCAGCTGTAGTTCTGCACAGCAAGAGGTAGAAAAGGGTGTGGTGAAGGTGGACGGTGTCCAGTGGGGCAGAAGTATCATCACTCATACAGGAAAGACATTCCTCTGTGGATCCACAGTTCATCATTTCATAGAATTACTTGCTCCAAGAATGGTCATTGTTCATCTTGAAAATGCAAGGGCCCTCTTGGGTAGGGAGGATGTTGGGAGTCTCCTGAATTCTCAAGGAAGATAGAAAGCAAAGTCAGGTGCAAGAGATTGCTGAGAAAAACACACTGTGGAAAAGGAAGGAACAATTTGAGTTTTAAGCAGCAAGAGTGTGACGTTTCTTCCCTGGAAGATTAATAAAAATAGTTTGGACAAGCAGGAGCAGCGCTTACTCAAAAGACACTCAGAAGATTTAGGAACTGTCCAGAGGAATGGATTGTGTTACCAAAGGAAGGAGAAATGCTTCCTCATAAACATGATGAAAGGAGTCTGCAGCAGGAGCAGAAGCCCTGTCACTGCTCCCATCGTGCCACCCTCCCCAATAACTGACTGTTATTACAAGGAACTGCACGGGTCTCACTGACAGGAATCAGCAGCCACAGCAGTACCACCGCTGCTGTCATCTCTTCTGTTATCATCCACATCGCCATCACCACCAGTGCCATCATCACCATTACTAACACCGTCACCTCACAGTTAATAGTATCACCGTCACCACCATATCTGCCACTGTCACTAGTACCACTGTCACCACCATTACCAGCACCACTCCATCACATCGTCACCATCACCACCAATATCTGCCATTGTCATCATTACCCGTGTCACCATCAAAGTATCACCATCACCACCACCATCACCTTTATCAGCACCGACACAATTATAACTGTCATCATCACCTCCATGCCTGCTGTGGTCATCACCATTACCACCACCACCTCCATTAACGACACCACCATCCATCATCACCTTCACCGCCACCGTCACTACCCCTCAGAACCCCCAGCACTACCCTCCCACCATCACTATTGGTCATTACCATTGTTAAGCACTTAATCAGTTAAGCCCTCAAGCATTTAATCCTTGCAGCAGCTCTGCAAGAGAGACAAGAGTAATTGTTCTATAAGGAAGAAAACTGAAACTCAACAAACACAAACTACTTTCCCAAAGGAACACAGATAAAAAGAAACCAGACTGTCTGGCTCAGGAGATATTCCCATATTATTCTACACCCGAAGCATGACTTGCTAATCAGGAAGGATCCTGTCTTCCTGGATTAGTTGCCTAGACAAAGATGGGTAGCTTTGCTGTGTCTCACAAACCCGGTTATTTTTGCCAAGCTAGGTGGAATGAATGGCATAGTCAATGAGACTAAAAATGGCTACCGGGAGTCTTCAGAGGCTTTAGGAACCAACTGAGGGATTTGGAGGAACAGGTGGCGGCCTCATACTTTCTGCCAGCTGGAGCCTATAATTTTGGAATAGCGAGCAGTGTGTGCGGAGTGAACAGCTGGCTCCCCAGGGACCAGTTCAGAATAAGGTGTGGTTCTCCCGACACTGCTCATGACACCAGACCTGTGGGCTCCTAGATTGGGTGCTCGACTCATGGTCAAGAGTGAAAGGATGAAACAGGGGAAGAAAGTTCCAGATAAGTATGAAATCAATGCAATGGAGCATCAGTCAAGTGACATGAAAAGAAAAACCACATGGAGAAGATGCCCAGGATTCTCTAGAGCAATAAGCAACAGAAACCAGAAACTTTGCATATAGCTTCACATCGGTTACTGGGAGATCTGAAGAACATGTGTTAAAGCACGAGTCTGTGAAAAAGTGGCAGCAATCACTGATCAGATATGAGCATTACTTATACCAGCCTGATTGAGAGGAAGACATTCAGAGGAGGGTGCCTGGGCTCAGATGTTATACAATAGTACCCCGGAGAGCTGGCATTCTTACCTATGCCTACTTCTATCATTCACTCCAATCTCTCAGTCCACTTGTCAGCCATTGCCCTGGACCAGCTCCTAAAGGTGCTAAATTCATCTCAGATGTATGGCTTTAAGAAAAATGGTGCTTGTTATTGGAATGGTCTATGCAAGCATGCAGCCATTAAATCAGTTTTATTGAGAGGGTAAAGAATTGTGTTATCAGCTCATATTGTGCCTTCCTCCATGGAATCCACAAGTGAATCTGATGAATGCATGACCACATCGAGGGAAGTGTAAAGTAGGAAGGATATGAGAGAAAATGTCCTCACCTCTAAATTTTTGAAGGAACTGTCACAGAAGACAGCAAGTTATTCTTAGTTGCATAAGAACTGGGGGAGTCGCAGGAATCAGGCCTCAGCTCCACATGAAGAAGGCAGCCGTGACAGCCATGCCCAGCCTGATTCTTAGAGGGCTTTCTTACCATGGACTGAGTGGACTCCTGGATGTGATTAAGCAGAGGATGGTGTCCGCCTGCAAAGAATGCAGCAGATTCCTGCACTGACTGGGACATCTGACCAAATGCTCTATGAACTGGAGCCCAGTGCAATTATGAGACCCTATGGGGGAGTCCCCAGAGATAAGTTTATTGTGCATCACCTAGAAAACCTGTTCAAATGCCACCGCATCTACACTGAAGACAAGTCACTTCAGATGACTATGTGTCTATAAAAGGGAGAAGGGATCTGACCTCTCTAAACTGTTTTGTTTTGAAGGCAGTAATTATTAGGATGGGAGAACAGGAAAACTTAGTCTCATTCTAGGACAAAAGAAAGGGAGGGAGACAAATTCCTGAACTCTGCATCCTCCCAGACTCCATCTGAAGGCCTGCAACTGCAAAAATTTTGCAGTTAGAGGAGACCTCCCTGCTTCCAAAGATGTTAGAAGGGTATACCTAGGTAAGAGGCCAGCAGAAGAGGATCGGACCCTTACAAACACTTCCTCAGGGCCTCACCGATTCCCGCAGCCTGCTGGACACCCTGCCCTTTTTAGACACATCATCCACTCTTACGGGACTGGCTTCCAGCTGGATTGAAAGCTGTCCAGTCAGACGCCCCCAATTTTATGCATAGTTTTTTGGGTTTTTTTCTCACTGCTCCAAAGTCTGCCTTTGTCATCAGGCACCAACAGAGCGGTTTGTCCTGTGGTAAACTTTGCTCCGTGACCCTTTTCTCCTCCAAAGTGGGCCATCCGGTCAGTGAGGCCTGAATTCCCAGCATTTCCCAAGTACCTTGGACACCAGCTCCATTTCCTGTCTCTCCCATACCCTCCCTGACATTCATTGAGCAACAGGCAGATTGCTGGCCACACACACACTTCTGGCCCCAGCATGGGCTCCAAAGTGACAGTGATAGGGAGTGAGAGCACATTTCTGGTCTGGAACAGTCTCATCAGACTCTCATCCTTAGATCCTGGGAAAGCAAATGCGTGCCATGAAAGCGTACAGGGGAAGGGGTACAAGACAAATTTTATTCTTTGCCTCAGTGATGTAAGACCCACCCATTCATACTCCAGCAAAGGTGCTTTGAGTTCCTGCTACAAGCCTAGCACCATGCTATGCAAAGAAATGAATTTAGCCACAGCACATAGACCTGGCACTTGCCGGGAATATATAACCTAAGAAAAGAAAAACATAGCCTATCCCAAGGAGCGATGCTTCTCAAATTTAACCATGCACAGAGATCTAATTAAAATTCAGTATGTTTGGGTGGGGGGATGATGTTGCGTGCCGTGAGCTCCCAGAGATGAGAATTTAAGGTCAAGAAGAGAAGCATGAGCTTAGTTGAGGAGGGCAGGGACCAGTTTGGATGATTGGTGCCTGGGAGGAGACGTAGGAAGGTCTTTCCTTCCACAGAATGGGCAATAAGCCAGAGCTCTGGTGGCCTCTTCCTTTCCCTGTAGAGTCGCTGGGCAGCTATCAGTGGCAGTGTGGGGCACCTGAAAGCATAGTGACATTCAGGGAAAAGTTCCTTTGGCACACGTGTAACACGAAGGTGGGAGGTCAGGCGGCCCAGGAAGTTTTTCTCAGCAGCGTCTCCTGTCTTTGCAGACTGTGCCGGGTGCAAGGAGGAGATCAAGCATGGCCAGTCACTCCTGGCGCTGGACAAGCAGTGGCACGTCAGCTGCTTCAAGTGCCAGACCTGCAGTGTCATCCTTACCGGGGAGTACATCAGCAAGTGGGTGTGATGCCCTCCCCTCCCCACTCCTGGGCCTCCGCATCCTACAGGGCCCGCCCCATGAGCCCATGCCCAAATCCCCAGCATCACTCCCTCCCTGCCATCAGCTGCCACGCTTGGGCCACAAGGGCCTCTTTCCACTTGTGGGTCCCTGCTGTGCCCTTTCCTCTGCCCCCTTCTTCACCACTTGCTTCTTCCCTTCTTTCCTTCCTTAGGCCTCTGCTCAGAGGCAGCCTCCCCCAGTCACTCCCCACCTCCATTCTGTCATTTGCTCTGACTCTTTCTCACCGTAGATGCTTCCTTGCCCCACTCTCTGACTCAGTACCAGCAAATGGTAAGCATATAGGCTACTACACGCATGGAATCTGCTCTCAAGACCCTCACAGTCTGATAAGGGAGATGAGCTGCTAGGACACCACGAATTATATGAAAAGAGCTCATGAGAAGTTTTATTCATTAAGACTTTTTTATTCAATCATAAGTTACCGAAAACCCAATTCTATCTCGCTTAAAATCGAAAGTTGGAATTTATTGGCTCATAGAAATGGAAAGGTCAGAAATGCACTGGCTTCAGACATGGCTATATCCAAGGGACTTAAAGTCTTCTCTCATTCTAGCCTAGCAGAGAGGAGCCCTTTTCTTCCAAGAGCTCCAGCAAAAGTCCTATAGCTGTCTCTATTCGGTACCCTTGGGTCACATATCCATTGCCAGTTAAACCCTAACTAGAAAGAGCCAACCCTGGAGCCAGAGAGCAGCTTTGGTTAAAGCCCAGAGGAACTGAGAGTGGGCAGAGGTAGCCTCATGGGAAAATCAGGTGCGTTACAGCCAGAAGGGAGGCAGATGCTGGCCGGATGGTCCTGACCAGTGAATAGCACTGGCTTGTGCCCAAGGTGCTGGTGAAGGGTGGTGAATATTCAGAAAAAGGGGAATCATTTCTAAATATCAAGAAGTAGAACCTGTCTGTAAGCGCCTCGTGGAAGGTGACAGTATTTGAGCTAGACTTTGAGAAAGGAGGTAAGGCTGGAAAACACAACAGAGAGCTTTTTGGCAGAATGCCTAGCCTATCAGGGACTGGGACATGGGCACGTGTTAAACACCTCCACCCTGTTTGGCAGCTCAGGTGTGTACCCAGGGGGGTACACCTGAAGTAAATGCAGCGAGGTCACCAAAAGTCCTAAAGACCACGTCGGTAGGAGATTGGAATTCTCCTCTAGGCCTGCCAAGTAAGGAGTGTCCTTCACAAGTGGCCAGCCAGGAGTCCTTGAGTCTGGTAGTCTACATCAGAGTTCTCCAGGGAAGGCAGGGCCTGCTTAGAGTTCCTCTTGAAGAGACAGAGCCCAGACTGCACACCACACCTGTGCCTTTACACTCTGGCTTTCAGCTCCTTGCCTGGCTGCAGGACAGTGGTAGGGGCTCCAAGGCACTGGCTGTCACACTAGATGCCCAGGACTTAAACCCAGTCTGTGTGACCTTGGCTAGGGACTCAACATCAGTGAATCTTTGTTTCTTCATTGTTAAAAATAGGGTTAATAAGTGGGAATATATAAAGGCTCAGAGATCTGTGCTTGTGCTCAGATTTATTATACCCAGTAAGTACCCAATAAATACTCACTTTACCATCTAATTTTTTAAAAGACTCTTGTGTATTTCAAATTCCCTAAGTTGGGAGCTGGGGATTTAGCTCAGCGGCATAAGCGCCTGCCTTGCAAGCAGGCAGTCATGAGTTCGATCCCTGGTACCGATAAAAACGAAAAAGCCAAAAAAAAAAAAAAAAAAATTCCCTAAGTCCTCTCCAGTCCAGGGATTAACGGAGGTTGGGCTGGCTGGTTTGTTGTACCGGCCTCCCAAGAAATGACTTTTCCTTCTGCAGAGTTACCCTCTTCACACACAGAGTAGGAATAAGTTTTGACTTTGTGGACCTCGCCTCACCTCTGGACATTTGTCAGGCCTCAGCCCTTACTGCTGCTTCTACTCAGAGAAACATTGACTGCCCTGTGTCCTGTTCAAGGCTCCCAATAGCCACAGGGTAGCTTCACTTTGAGATGGAAAAAGTGACTTCTGTCTTTTGGGTCTGTCTGTGTCTGAACCAGAGTCTCTCACCCAGAAGTGGAAAAATGGCCCTCTCTTCTCAGAGTTCAAGAATGAGCCTTTAGAGCTAGGTGGGTCCCGCAAGCTGTGATGAGCTCACTAAAACCCCCAAACTCCACAACCGCCTCAGAACACTGAGAATCATGGTGATCACTGCCATTGCTGGGAATGCATTGGGGCTGGGCACTGCACTAAGCCCCAGGAGACACTGGACCCATCTCCTTTAGTCCTCATACACTCCTGGGCTAGAAATCAGACCACCAGGGCTTGAGTCCTAGCTTTAGGTCATCTAGGTGGCCAAGGCTGAGTTACCAACTACTCCGTGCTTGAGTTTTTCTTGCACACATTGGAAAACTAAGAGAGTTACAGTCTTTAAGCTGCTATAAGAAGTAAATGCAGTAATCTGCATGAAACACCGTCAGAGGGCCTTGTACATGCAAGCAAGAAATGCCAGCGGTTGTGAGTAGTAGGGAGTAGTGTAGAAATAATTAAGGGCAGTCATCATTCTGTCTGCTAGGTCGTAAGCACTGGGTAGAAATGGAACACCTAGACGGTGTTCAGAGGAGGCACCTTGTTATCTACTGATCCAGCAGCACAACCAAATGGTTCTTTCACTACAGGTAAAAATTTTTTATTTAAAAAAAAAAAAGCTCTTAATTGATCACACACGTGACCTCAAGGAGAACGGGAAGGAGTGAACTCTTTATTCCTTGAGAATGCTGTGGTATATGCAAATATTACCTATTGTAAATTAAATGAGGCTTAACCATTCTAAATAATTTTCAAAAAACATCTTGCAGGACAAAAGAAATAAAGTGGGTCTGGAGAGATTGTGTAAAATAGGAAGAAACAAGTGGAAAGGGACACCCGAGGCTGGCGGTCTGTGGCAGTGGCTTCCACTCATGCTTGCAGGATGCATCAGCTGCAGGTCACTGTGCCCCACACCAGGGATTCTCTGATTGCAGTCTGAGGTGTGCTGAGGAGTTTACATATTAAATAAGCTCCCCAGATTCTTCCAGTCCCCCTAGGTTGCAGGTTGTGGAACAGCCACAGGACCACTCACTGAGCCCTAACTTCCTCAGACCCTGTGAATTTCCTCTTGCAGGGATGGCGTTCCATACTGCGAGTCTGACTACCACTCCCAGTTTGGAATTAAATGCGAGACTTGTGACCGATACATCAGCGGCAGAGTCTTGGAGGTGAGTGGCTGAGTAACCATGAAGATATGTGAGCAGGGTGGCTTGTCCATGCAAAAGTCGCCGCTGAGGAAAGAGATAACCATCTCACATCCCTTCTTCCAGAGCCTCACCTCCCACAGCTTTGCTTGCTGTATGACCTTCAAAGAAACCTTGCTGAGATCTCTGAGCACCCCCAAAATGAGAGAGAGGATGGACGAAATTATTTCTGGTTCAAGAACTGCCGTGCTGGAAAAATCAGTTGCTTCTTTGGACCCAGACCCAGACAGTTTCTGGGGAGTGACAATTAGGATTTGCCTCTTATTCCTGCCTAAGGATGGAAGGGATCTTTTTGGTTTTGTTTTTTTAAGTATTTGGTAATGTGCTGCTTTAAGAACCAGCTTGTCTAGCAGCTTGCTCCCTAAGCCCTTCTTTGGCTGGTCCATCACCATGGCAACAGCTCTCCCAGCCTCATGCGCAGCTGGTTCTGATAGTGATAGACAACCTGCAGCACCTGGCTGAGCCTGTGCTGTGCCCTCTGTCCACTTCTCAGTTCCTGGCCTTCCTTTTCACACACTGTGGGCCTGCTTTGGGACCACCCACCTTGAAGAATTAGAAACAATAAAAAATTTTGTACAAAGGGAAAATACTATTTTAAGAGTAGGAATAATTGGGGTCTAACACCATGTTAACACCACTGCCAACTGATTCTCAGATTTTGGATGATGACTTTTGTATCTCTAGGTCTGAATTTTTTATCTGAGAATGCCTGAGAAATGGTAATCAGGGACAGCTACTGTGAGCCAGAACTAACCGATTGCTTGTAATAATCACGAGTGCTAAATTAGAAGGATCCTGCAGCCACATGTGGGCCCAACAAGACAAGACTGCAGCAACAGGGCAAAGACACTCCCAGGGGATGCACTGAAGCAGATCCTCAAGGATGAGGAGGGCTACATATGAAGAGCTAGGCGAACACTCAGCCCATTCAGGGAACAGAGGGAAATGCTGAGTTTTGTAAACCGAGGGTCAGGTAGGCTAGGGCATATCACGAGAAAATGCATCACATAAGACTTTGTAGATCATGTGTAGGAGTTTGGGTTTCATACTAAGTGCAGAGGAAAGCTGCTGTAGGGTTTTAAACCAGGAGGCAACATGACAGGATTATGTTTTTAAAAGATCACCCGGATTGCTCTGTGGAGGGTTGGTTATAGAGAATCCCAGAGAATAAGATAAACAAATTCACTGACTTGCTACTATTAAGCACTCCGAGGGGTAGTAGAGGATGCAATGCAGAGAGGTTAAGCCTTCAGCACAGGAAGGCTTTATTAGGTCTGGATTTCCAGGGCCGGGATTCAGGGATGAGGAGTTTGTGTGTGATTCACTGGGGAGTTGTTGAAAAATTGAGCAGAAGTGACCTGGTTAGAGCTGCTCTTCAGGGAAGATAATGTGATGGTGTTCACAGGCTCAACCTGAAAGAGGGAACATGGGAGAGAATGACAAGGGCAGCAGCTTCGTCTACAGCATTATGGAAGTAGAATTCCAATCGCTGTGCAAATGGTGGGCAGCTGCAGGAGAAAAGGCCAAAAGTTGTGCCAAAATATCAAGCCTGGGTGACAGAAAACCTGGTGTCAGCGTGTATAGAACAGGAGATGCAGAGATACAAGCTGGTCTGGGCAGAAATATGGGGAGCTCAACGGGGCCTTGAGTGTGATTGAAATCCTGAGAAGGTTTTGAGAAGGTATGGCTCAGCGGCACAAGAGCTTGGCTGGCAAGCACAAGGTCATGAGTTCAATTTCCCATACAAAACCAAAAACAGAGAGAGAGAGAGAGAGAGAGAGAGAGAGCGCAGGAGGGAGAGAGAGGTCAGGATCTTCAAGACAGGGTGGGAGGGATCTCAGAAGATGTCTGCCTACAGTTGGCAGAAAGAGATGAATTAGAGGAAAAAAGGAACTCCAAGGGGATGTGGGAGGACAGAGTTTCAGGAAACACAATGAGGTTGATCAGAGTGTTGGTCAAACTCTGTGGAGTAATTAAGGACTGTGGGAAGGAGAAAAACCTGCTAGGTATTGGAGAAGAATTGCTGGTGATGTCTGCCTGGCTGGGAAAGAGGCAGTCAGCATGCCAGGCATCGGTGGAATGGGAGATCACAAAAGCTGGCCTTTCTTTTAGGAAGGGAAGACATTTGGATACACAGGGCTGCACATGGAAAGCTGTCCCAGCGTTTACAGGATGCTTTGAAATTCTCTTGTGATGGCTCTTCCCCCCGGCACTGCTGCTTACCATGGCAATGGTCTCCTCCTCCAGCATTCGAGACTGGGTTTTGATTGATTCCATTTGTGTGAAGCTCCATTAGCATCTCGGACTTATTGATTTTTTTTCTAAGAGCTGGAAGGAGACTTAACTATGAACTAGTTCAACATCCTCATTTTGTAGATGAGAAAAGTGAGACCCAAGACACACAGAGCTTTTTCAAAGTCACAAATAGTCCACATGGTACAGACAAGTAAAATCTGGGCTCCTGTGTCACACACTCATGTCCGCTGTGTTCAGCCACTCAGGGGTTTTTGAGCAGCACAATGCAAGAGAGGAAACACTGGAAACAGAAACAGACTTGGCCTCAAATTTTACAACTTCTAGCCATGAAACCTTAATCTAGTTATACTTTTTCCAGGTCTCAGTTTTTATCTATTAATGAAGACTACTACTGTCCTAATTTCAATACTAATGAACATATGCTGGTTGGTTGGTTGGTTGGTACTGGGAATTGAACCCAGGGCCTTCCTATGAGCAATATCATGAGACCTTCTTTTATTTTTTATTTTGAAACAGTCTCACTAAGTGGTTAAATTCCCCAAGCTGCGCTCAAACTTTTGATCATTTTGCCTCAGCATCCCAGACATGCACAATCATGCCTCCTAATAGATATGTTAATTGAGGTGGGGCTGTAATTGAAAAAACTATGAATGATGCTGAAAAGAAAATTCTTTAACTCCCATAAGAAAAGGTCCTGGAGTAGCTCTGTCTTCAGGCTCATCTGGACTCAGGGCATAAATAAAATCACTTGGAATCTCTGACCATCGTGGCTCCACGTTCTCTTGCATCAGTTTTATTCCCAGGAAGGCTCTTCTCTGTGATGGGGACATTGGACTCCAGTCCCTTCAGGCATATGGCGAACAAGCTTCTCTTTCTGAAAAGCTCAGCAAACATCGCAGAAATGACTCCCTGGATAGTTTCAGCCCATCCCTGAATTCGTGGCTGTAACTAGAGAATTGGAATAAGCTTGTTGGTGGGGTCAGCATTACCTAAACATGTGGACTGATATGGGAGCCAGAGAATCCCCCCAAGGGAAGACTTGATGCTGTTCCTAGAGGAAAGAAAGTAGAGGCTGGCCAGCCCATAGCCAGACCACCAAAGGCACTTAATTAAACTGTTTCTTCTCTTCTTATCTTTGGTGACAAGATTTTACATGCTAAGTGTCAGTCAACCTTCCTTTCTAGGGCATGTTCCCACCAAAGACAACCATAACCTGATCTTGGTATTGCATTTTCTAACCTTGGTCACCCTTTTCAGTCCTTTCCAAGGTGCCCCCATTGGGGGTACCAACTCTTTGCTATTTTTTCATTATTATTTTCAGTTGTTAACAGGTGGAATGTTCGCTTTAGCTTACTGACTTGGTTCTTTCTTGTGTTGGGTGCATGCAGCTCAATTGCCTCCCTTCCATCAAGGCACTTTCTGTGCCATCTGAGGCTCGGGTTGCAAGGTAGGCATGACGCTCTCTTAGCTAGGATGGGGTAGGGGCTGTGACATTTAGAAAGAGGCTGTATTTCAGTTGTGCAAGGTGCTGTTGCTACCCTGGAAAAAAGCTCTATAATTGAAATGATAAAGAGACACAGAGTAGGAAGAGGCTACTAATTAAACCAATTATCCTTGTCATGGCACAAGAGAGTCAGTCCCACAGCTTCCTAGCTTAGGAAAATAGTAGGCTCGTTCTCAAGTTTGAACGTAGTTTGCTTAGATGGTGACAAGGACATTTCCTCACTGGTGGAAGTCACCAAGAGTGATAAAAGAAATACTGGAGGTATTTTTTCCTGTTGTAAAAATCTATCCTTTCTCATTCTCTTGCTAAGTGTTTGGCATAAATTAAGCATTTCCAAAATAAGCAAACCAATCCCATTGCTCGGAAGTGGTACTTTGTGACCACCCTCCAATATTCATCAATTTCCCTCAGATATTTCCTAGTCCCCCTCAAAAACTCCCTTCCCTGACACAAAATATTCATTCAAAACCAGTCTTACTTTCCAATCCAGGTGCTACACAGATCTACCCGTATAGAAACCTGGAGCCACTGCCCAGGGGCCTGTCCACCTCAAGTCCTTAAGCTAGGGGTTTAGAGTCCAAACTAGCAGCAGGAGTGCACACAGGGCTGGTGACTGGGTCCTATAGTCTGACCCCAGCACTGCTACTGGTCTCTAGTGAGAACTTGAGGCCCAACCTTATGTTTCTTCACCCACAAAAGAATTTGTAGAGTGTATCCATTTCCATTTTTAATTTAAATAATTGTGGGGAAGAAAGGTGGAAAAAGTGGGGGGGGGTGTCTCACCAAAGCCAAATCCTTGGGCTCCGAGTTGGTGCGCCCAGGTGACAGTCCAGTCTGAGGGTTAAGGGGGTCTCCAGCAGGTACACAGGTATATCTATACTGGACCCTAAAATCTATCTTTTCCATGTTACTCTTAACAGTTTTTTCCATGTCTGTGAACCTTGTATACTCATTTTTACCTAATACTCTATTCTGTCTTTAAATACTTTCACATAAGAAAATGTGTACAACAAAATAGGAAAATCTGTATCACTCACCACATTATAGGTGACCCAAAAAAAATATAGTTCTAGCTAGATTCAACTGCTTGTGGAGGCTCCAAGCCCTGCACATTTTTTCATTATTAAAAGAAGGTAGAATGATATGTTTTGAAGAGATATTGGCACCAAACTGGCATTCTCCCTTTAATAAAATTGGAAGAATCCAGAGAAAGCTGAAAAGGAGATCATTTTTCTTCGTTGATCCGATGTTAATAAATCATAAGTTCCTGTACCACTTAAAATCATTTCAGATACCATTGGTGGTAGAGGCCCCAGAATTGGGGAAATACTGGACCATCCTCAAAACAAGACTGTTTCTTTGTATAGAAATGAGGAGGTGGTAACAGTGGCCTCTGAAGTGCCTTTTTCCCAACAGGTGACAGGAAAGTCCTGTGGGAGGCGACACCAGACTTTCTGGGTGGATGGCTATGTGGTTCTAACCCTGCTCCAGTAGCCTGCCAACCAACTGCAGGACCATGAAGATGCCAACAGCACCAGTGTACCATGAAAGCAGCCTGTGCTCCTAGATGGCAGCCCCGGCCCTGAAATGCTGTTTTGTCTCTTGATTTTCATAGGCAGGAGGAAAGCACTACCACCCCACCTGTGCCAGATGTGTACGCTGCCACCAGATGTTCACTGAAGGAGAGGAGATGTATCTCACAGGTAAGCAAACCTGACCCTCTGAAGGCATTCCGCTCATGGCTGGAAAGGAGATACAGTCTCCTTTCATTCTAGTGTTGTGCTCGCACTTGGCTTGTCCTCAGAATCAAAATTAATTCGCCCCTCTCTGGGTGGATGGGAAAAGTTGCTTGTGTGGCTAATGTGAAGTGACATGTAATCTGCCTTCCGTCCCTGTGTGTCTCCACCCGCTGCTCAGCTGGCCTGCTTCCCTGGCAGTGCTCTGAGCGGGCTCCCTTGGCTCCGCCTGGGGGTGGGAAGCTGAGCTACACAGGGCCAAGGGGATGCCTGGGTACAGAGTCTGCAGCACAATACAGCCTCTAGCCCTCCACCCATCCTGTCCGCTTCCTTCTCCCCCACATCTCAGAGCATCTGCTCTCAGGGCTCCTGAGGCTCTCACCGTACACAAAGAGGACTGGAAGGCACCAGCAATTCCCTAAAAGTAAGCCAGGCTGCTGCCTGCCGGGATCCAGCCCTCTTACCCAAGGATTGCCCAAGTCACCCGATTGGTCTCTAGATCCTTCTCAGTCCCTGTCCTCTGCCCAGCGTATACCAGTGCGCCTGGCCCTGCTGCATTGACCCCTCCTTAACCCCTCCCTGCCCAGCATTTTAGGTGCACTTAGCTCAGCACATAAGGTCATCTCATCAAGATCCCAAACTTCCATTCTAGACTTGAACATACCGAATGCTTAAGCTGCCCAAACCAGTTTTCAGTCTGTTCATTCATCCCTTCAACCACCACTTCTTGAACCCCTGCTATAAGCAGGCTCTGTACCAGGGACATTGTGAGGACCCCACACACACAGCCATACAGCCCAGTGAATAGAGCCAGCCGTGGTGAGCTCCATGAAGGGGAGCGAGATGAGGTGGTGAGCACACATGATGGGTGGGAAGAGTGCCAGGAAGGCTCCCCGAGGGAGGCCAGGGTCCAGACCTTGCATGCGTGGGTGTTAACTGGCATCTCCAAATGCAGGCTGCTCTAACAAACTGTCATAGACTAAGTCGGCTTATGAACAGCAGAAATGTATTCTTTGGAATTCTAGAGGCTGGGAAATCCAAGATCAAGGCGCTAGTAGACTCGGTGTCTGGTGAGAGCACACTTTCTCATAGACGATGCCTGTACCTCATTATGAGGACCCCGCTCTCATGACATGACCCCTTCCCAAAGGCCCTACACCCTCATACCATCTCCTCAGAGGATAGGATTTCAACATACAGATTTGGGGGAACAACACAAACATTCAGAACATAGCAACTAAACAAAGGAGGGATGGGATATGTCAACCGGTGGTGGCAGAATCTGTGAGACTGTGAGGTGGGTGAAGAAATGGGAGGGCATCAGGCCCAGACTGAGGTAGGATGAGTGTGGAAGACGAGCAGCTGGAATACAGGCTGGGCCTTGCGGCAAGATGGTGTTCAGCCCCTGAAATGACCTTCATTTCTTTTCATTGTCTCCTTTCAACTCTCCTTTGGAAATCCTGTCATTCTAGACTCAATTCAAAAACTACATGCTTTATAAACACCCCAGATTACACCGACCCCACCCACAACTTGACACACTTCATCCTCTCTGAGTTCTCTTGATGCTTTCTTTGAACTTGGTCCCTCCAGGTTGAGTTGTATTTTATAGAGTTGTTGGTCTTCTCCCTAAGACCTCTGGCTCCTGGCATTGGCCCTTCAGCCCTAACATGGACCCTTCCTGCTTTCAACAAACAACTGATTACTTCTAACTGAGTTTCTATGGTTAACCTCGCCCAGATGCTTGAACAGCAATCTTGGAGGGAAGTGAGAGCCCTTCCTCCAGGTGTACCCACAGGGCAACGCTGAGGCCAATTATAAGGAGCCTATCTTTTTGCCAAGCTTGCCCAAGCCACAGATGCCCAGGGCCAGGAGTTGACCTCAAGTTGTAATGGGTCCCCTGGGCCTGGAGCAGAGTTTCTCAACCTCAAACTATTGACATTTGGTGTTAGATAATTCTTTGGTGTGATGGTTGTCCTGTGCATCACAGGGTATTTGTCAGTACCCCTAGTGTCCAACCACTGGACACCAGCAATAGGTCCTTTCCTATTTTGACAATCAAAAATGTCCCAAATATTGCCAAATGTTCCCAAATTCATCCTCAGCTGTGACCCACAGTCATGAAATAGTAACAGAAACCTTTGCCATTAGAGGGAGTTCTGGAGCAGAGATTCCCACATGAGAATGAATGAGGAGACCATTTCTGTGATTTGGTAGCACCGTAGCTGGCTACTTGTGTGGACTCACACACACATGTAAGAAGTAGAAGGTTCCCAGCATCATTCTAAACTGCAGAGTGACTACCCACATTGTAAATAGGCCGAGAGAAAAGAACAGACTTGAGTGAGAACCAGAGGGAAAAGGGACAGAGCAGCACTTGGATTTGGAACTCCCCTTCCAGGACCTTCTTCACCTTTCCCCTGAGACTCAGCCCCTGGCTGCTACTCAGGTCCCTGTCCCTTCCCATGAGCACCGATCCTTAGGTGCGTGGGTCCCACAGTGATTTCCTGCCACAGGAGCCTGTGTTATAGTCCTAGCAAACTACACAGTAACCTCATGGATCCCAGCCACCTTCAGACCTGGAGTTTGCATTTGGACAGGAAATGTGCTGTGTAGTGTTTCTTCCCTCTTCTCTGGTGAACACCTCTCCTGGTGCTCAACCTGCCCTCACACTCTCAGCCCCACCCGTGCCTCACTGGGATGATCAGCAACTGCATCTTCCAGCCTCGATTCTCAGTCCTCATCTGTCTCCATTTGTGCCTTGACACACAGTACCCAGATATAAGTCCTGGCTCTACTCCTTACTACGATTTTGACCTTGGGCAAGCCTCTCAACTCTCTGGTTGCCTAACCTATGAAATAGACCAGGGTCAGTTCCTATAAAGTACAGAAGAAAGCTTCCTCTGTGTTCATTGGGCAAATACCCAGTGAGCACCTTCTGTGAATCCAGGGCTGTTCTAACAACTGGCGCTGCGGCCAGGAGTAGATCAGACAAAGACCCTGTCCTCCTGGAGCTCACAGCTCAGGATCAGGAGCTTCACTCATCCAACTTCACCGAGATGCTGGAGGAGTTAAGCGATGAGTAAGCAGCTCTGTGATCATGAGAGAGGGTGCACCATCAAACTTAAGGCGGACATGCCTCCAGGAGGTGGGAGATATTCTTGGTCATGAAGAAGGGTCTGTCACCCTCTCATTATTGCTATCCCTGCCCTCGAGGCTCCTGAGAGAGTAGGAGTAATTGCAGAGTATTCAAGAACCTGCTTTAAGAGATGCTGAGTGATCCTGGGATGAGGGGGCCCAAGCTGTCTGAGTCGTGCTGACTTGGGCTGTGGGTGTCCTGTGGGGGTGGCAACACTGGAGATTTCTGCTACAGCTTATGTGGGCCCTGGCCACCTTCAGAAATGACAAGAAAACCCCTTCCTAGGCAGTAGGAGTGGGAGGAGTCAGCTGAGAGCCAGGGGTCCTGGGTTGGTGTCAGCGCTTCTACTATGGACCGGGACATTAAGAAATGACTGCCTTCTCTCGATCTCCTTCTCTGTCAAATGAGGGTGATGACACTGTCTCATTACAGTGGAGCCTTCACTATACTCCAGGCTTTCTGTTCCATGTTGGGGATACAGAGATGAGCTTACAGCTCTAGGGGAGTTTACTATTTGGAAGAAAAGATTGGCATTAATTTGACAGAAGTTCAGGCCTTCACTGGCAAACTGGAAAAAGCACGGTGAAAGGAAGATCTGGGAACAATCCCAAATCTAGTCTGCAAGGCCAAGGAGACTTCCTTGAAGGAAGGACATTTCAAGCCGTAAACTTGAAAATGAATAGAAGGTGGCGGTGAAAAAGAAAGGGGGAGACTGTGGAAGCAGTGAGAAAGGCAGCTGCAAAGGCCCCCCCTCCCCCGTAGAAGAAAGCTTCACACACAAGGTTCTCATGCACATTAGAGGAAAGAACGAATGTTAAGGTGCTGAGGACACCATAAAGCAATGCATAAAAGTCAGGGGAGGGAGACAGAGGTTGTGCGCATGCGTGTGTGCGTGCGTGCGTGCGTGGGTGGAGCGTGTGTGTGTGCGTGTTTGTGTTAGCAAGCCTGCAAAGCCTATAAACCCAGACCTGTCAGCTCCAAAGCTGGATAATCTGGTACTGGCAAATGGTCCTCAGGAGATTCTTTGACCAGTTTGTTTGCATTTTAATTGTGGCCTGATGGCTTTCTGAAGGGCTCTAATTGGGAGAAGTCTGACGTCTGTCTGGAGGAGAATTTCCTGGGCCCCAAGAGACAAGAGCAAGTTTTCTTTTATTTGTTTTAAGTTCTGTTGCACATTCAGTCTTTCAACTGCTTTTGTAAAGATGCCAGTTATCTAATCTGTTTGTTATCCAAATCCTTCATTTGGTCTTCACCAAGAAATTAGGTCACCGATTTTTGTGCAGCAAAATAATAGCTAAGATGCTGCAGATTCGGTGCAAAACTTACACCTAAATCATAAAGGTTACAATGGCTAGACCAGTGGGAATTTTTCTAAACTCCAAATGTAGTTCATGAAATAGAGTTTGCTCTTGCTCTAAATGTACCTGCACTCAGGGAAAAGGGAAGACAGATTATTTTTCTCCCCTTCTGTCTACATCAAGTCTCACTCCCTACCCCCCAGGATCTCACTTCAAGAGCCAGAGGCAGAACCTAAAACGGAAGTTCGGCTGCACATTTTAAAAATAGTTCTCTGTTATCATCTGTGTATTCAGCTAAAGATCACCAGGCAGAAAATCCTTTATGAAATCCTGGGCCAACCCCTACTCTGCTAAAGAAAGTATTATAATAAAGTATAGGTCCTACCAGTAATAAAGATGATAAAACAACAATGATCAAACTCTATAAACTGATATTGGTTGAGGGTTTGCATGTCAAGTACTGTACTCAGAATTTTAAGTGATGGCCAGGCGTGGTGCCTGTAATCCCAGCATACGGGAGGCTGAGGCAG